CTGAGTAGACACATCCCTGTCATTCTTCTCGAGTTCTCATTTCTTTTCATAAGCAGCAATACAAATATAACCTGGACATACACACACACACACACACACACACACACACACACACACACACACACACACATGAATGACAAGGCTGGAGAGCCAAGAAGAGGGAGAACATTACCTGACTCTGAAGGGAAAAATATAGGATGGTGGGAAGACATTTTGTATTTCTTTCCTTGGACTCTGCAGGTATGTCTCTGGCATCTGGGCTGATTTTAAGTAATCAGAGCATAAAACCCCACATCTAGAAGCCTCCTGAGTACCCTCACAGCCTGACCTAGTCATCAGGGCAGAAAGTGTATCTCATACTCTTTGTCTAACCAAATCTGCTTCAGGAGCAGGCCCAACCTTTCCCTGTGTCTAAGTTTTCCTGCATATTTGAGCTCAATTTGAGAAAAATACCAGAAGTAGTATCTTCTTTTGTATGAGTCATTGGTTATACACTAATTTATGGTTAACATGAGAGAGCAGGACAGATGGCTGGCAAAAACTTCAGGTTCATAAGGAGAAGATGCAGAGCTGTTCCTGCCTCTCTTCTGGAAGTCTCAGAATAACATCTGGTAACACAATGCTGAAACTTAGCGGTCTTCAGACTCCTCTTAATCCCAGCACTTTCCCATTCACACTGATGAGAAGTGGCTGGTGACAGTAGATGTCTTTGTCTCTTTCTTGTTAACAAGCTGAAAGAGGCATAAAAGCCATCTAATCTTGTTCCTCTTACAAATGAATAAGGTGAAACCCAAGGTGGTATGTCATTTTTCCTTTGGCCTATCTCTCATTTCTTCTACAGAGAACCATCTCCTCCTACTGAAATATCCTCCAGGTAAGGAAGTGAAGAATATTAGGGCTCCTGTTTTGGCTGCCCAGAAGGCAAGTGCTACTAAGTGCCATATAGCTATTCGATAAAAATTTTGTTACTATTTCTTCTTATAGCAGAGAAACCTATACAAGTGCCAAATAGGCTTTTCCTGATTGATGTTCTAGATTGACTATCCTTGAATGATTATCCTTATCACACGGGAACTCCTTCTCAGATCCTAGACTAGGATTACTTGACTACCATTGCAACATATTAAACTGTGGTGAAATTTTAGGAAAAGACACTGAGCTGATGGAAATATAGTCCAATGTTCTGTTACAAAAATAATTTCTCTAATTCACATGGGCTTGTGCCTGGCAACATGTTCAGTGAAAACTCTTTTTAAAAGAATAATAAACCTTACATTTATTCTTAATCACTTTATATTTATTTAAAGTCATTTTTGAGACACACTTTTTTTTTTTTTTGAGAAGTGTTTGCTATAGGGCACATGCGCTCACCAGAAAAACAGAGGACAGAGAGACAGAAAGCGAGAAATCATCTCCCCCAGGGGATGGCCACACCACAATTCTTTCTCCTCCATTCTCCTCTCAGGATCTTGGGCACACACACACACACTCCCCGTGTGAGTTTAAGTCACTGGGTCCAGAGCTCGAACTGGGGTCGACTACATGGGAGCCCAGTGATATGGCCATTATGCCAACTGCTGGTCCAAAGATACACTTTTTAAAAATAATGAAATTAAAATAAAAGTGACATTATGTTAACGATTTATAAAAGCAGAAATAAGCCAGAAGTCATCCATTTGTAACACTGTGATGATACAATCTTTTCTGTTTGGCTTCTGTTCAGGAATGTTTTTGCTGCTCTAAGCTCACAGAAATGTATCTCTGATTTCTATTCTGGAAGATTTTTTTTTTTAATCTTCCATATTTAGGTCTAAAACTTACCTGAAATTTATTTTTGTAAATGGTATGTGGTAGGTACCATGTTTTAGAATTCTTCAATGTGGAAAGTCAACTGACCCAGCATCATATTATTTATCAAAATACCAATGTCAGACTGACTCCATAGCCTGCAGGATAAGGCAGCTGGATCCTACATGACCAACAATGGACCTGTGACTTAGAATCATACCAACCGTGTGTGTGTGTGTGTTTCTACCCAACATCCCCAAAGAAGAGAGAAATGGAGAAGGAGAGAAAGAAAGGAGAGGGATTTGCCGCACTGCCAATTCCCATGGTAGGTGCTGTCTCCTCTCTTCCTCTGAAAATCTTGGAAAAGAAAAGCAAAGTTATTAATTAACAAAAATTAAGCAGATGAGAAATTTTAAACAGGAATCAGTCATAGGATAACTGTGCCATTGGAATATTATTATGAAAAATTAAAAATATGGTAAAGACAGGAAAAGAGAAAAGAATTCTGAAAGGGTAAAGAGACAGAGAGGAAAAGTTGATCGAATACAATTTGGATTTAATAGACATTCCAGAAAGTTTAGACAGAGTGCAATGGATAGCATCAAGGAAAGACAATTTATCAGGGGTAATTGATGAGAAATTTACATTTATTGAAAATGTATTTTTTTATTTATTATATTCTGTTCTCAGAGTATATATTTTAATCTAAAGATCTGTGTCAGCTTCAATTATGAATAATTGTTCAATTTTCATGAATATGCATATACTTTTTTTGTTCTTCTCAAGTGAAATGCATTTTTAAGTAATTTAAAGACTTGTCTATTCTGGAACAGTTTTGGAAAACTGTCATTAGATATTGTTTCTTCACTACTTTCTTGACTATTTGCTTAGGAAATGATCATATCTAGATTTATATACTCAGTCAATTACTTATGTCTCTAAACTGTACTTTCAAAGTATTAAACATTTTTCTGAATGTATTGAAATATGAAAGATTTCTTCATGAGAATTTTTAATACAGAACTTCAACTCTTTAATGTTTGGTCAGAAAACATTGAATCTTTATTGATTTCTTTTAAATCATGTGGTGATGTTTCTCATTCCAAAGATCTGTAATTTATCTGGTTATATACTAATTGTGTTTTCATAACTATATTGTTCATTTTTTAATTTATTGTGCATTTTAGTAAATATTAAATCTTCATTAATTTAGTTACACAACACAATTCTTCTTTTTTTTTTTGAGAGATTTTCCCTGTAGGGCGCGTGCACTCGCCAGACAGACAGAGAGAGACATAGAGACAAAAAGTGAGAAATCACCCCCCAGGGTGGATGGTCACGCCGCAATCCCTTCTCCTCCATTCTCCTCTCGGGATCTTGGGCATGCACGCACACGCGCCCGGTGTGAGTTTTAAGCCACCGGGTCTGGGACACGAACTGCGGTCGACTACGTGGGAGTCCAGTGACATAGCCATTACGTTAACTGCTGGTTCCCACAACACAATTATTCTTATATTAGAGTCTATATTATCCTTGTGTTAAAGTTTTATACATTTACTTTTTAAAACATTTATTCATTATTATTATTGTTATTATTTATACATTCAATCACTATATATCATTTAGATTGTAAAGAGGCTTTTCCCAGCATGATATATACCTCAGTCCAACCCAGTTGAGAATACTATACACATCCTCATCAACAGATAATAAACATACATTTACTTTCATCTTGAATAAATATAAGTTTTCAATATTTTACTTTACTTTTCTCTTTAGCATGAAATTTATGCGTTTTAGGGGAAAATGTGCTTTTTAGGCATATTTTCAGCAGAATAGATTTTGTTTTTATTAACTGATTTTTATTTTAATTTCATTTTTCACCTTCTCTTTTTCTCTGTCTTGTGGTTTTCAGTTTTTTTTTTTTTGTTGTTGTTGTCTTCCTCCTGGCTCCATGGGCCTCTCATACAAAATCAGGGTTTGCAGTATTTTCTCAGGCTCTGGTGGTGGAATTATAGAGGCAGTTGGCATATTGACTTTTTTACTTATCTTACCCAGCAACCCAATAGCTGTTTTAAATCTTTCATGGGCAATATCCAAACTCTTAGTTTCAAGAAATTTCTTTGGTACCCCATTTCCTAGTAGCTTGTCTTAATGTCATAAAAGCTGAATTCTATGTGTAATTCGTTGTCTTTAGATTGGAGCAATCATGTTTCTTATTTACTTCTGGTATATATGTATAAAGGTGTTGTCTCACTTTAAACTCTGGCAGCTACTTGGGGTTTGCATTTTAAATTTTACCTATCATATGCTTTTGATATAGAGGAGAAATCAGGAGCCCATCTTAAGCCTAAGTCTCTCCTTTCTTCTTTACTAAACATATTATCAGTGGTGGAAATGCAATGCTAAATTGTTAATGTCGCCAAACTTCAATTTCTGGGAGAAAATAGAGATTGGTGGAAATGATGGTAAATGAAAAAGGACATGTCTTTGTCTGTCTCCTCACTAGCTATAGCTCATTATTGCTTATGATGAATATCATAAAATTAAAAATTGGGCCAGCCAATGACATGGTGGTGAAGGTAGCTAAATCCCACGTGGCTTATTGTGTAGTTCAAGTCTCAGACTCAGCAGCTTCAAAAACATGCTGGGCACATGTGCGTGTGTGGCCAAAATCTTGAAAGGAGAAATAGAGGAGAAAGGATTGCAGCATGACCATCCTCCCTGGGGGTTGCCTTCTGACTTTTCTTCTCTATCTTGGTCCTTCTCTTCAGAGCAATCTTTAAAAAATAATCCATTTTTTTTAAAAGAGAACCCAGTTTTTATGTGAATTTTCCTATTTTTTGTAATGGTCAATAACTAAAATTTTACATATTTCTTAAAGGTAAGTTTACAGGTCAACACCACAGGGAATGTGGGCTGGCTGGATGCATAACTTACTGATTTATGGCCTCTGACATAAATGTACACTTTATAATAAATACACACACACACACATATGTGTATGTGTGTATATATATATGTGTATATATGTGTATGTGTGTGTGTATGTGTGTGCATATATATATATATATATACTTTTTCTAATGTGTATATATGTGTATGTGTGTGTGTATGTGTGTGCATATATATATATATATATATACTTTTTCTACCCCTCAGCTGTGAAATTTCTGTCCTAAGTGCATCCCAGGATTTACTGTCACAAGAACATGGAGAGCAATCAGACACGGATCACAGAAGTCATCCTACTGGGATTCCAGGTTGACCCAGCCCTGGAGTTGTTCCTCTTTGGGCTCTTCTTGCTGTTCTACAGCCTTGCCCTGATGGGAAATGGGATGATCCTGGGGCTCATCTGCTTGGATGCTAGACTGCACACCCCCATGTACTTCTTCCTCTCCCACCTGGCCATCGTTGACATGTCCTATGCCTCAAGCACAGTCCCGAAGATGCTGGCAAATCTCGTGATGCACAGAAACGTCATCTCCTTTGCTCCATGCATACTTCAGACATTTTTGTACCTGGCTTTTGCTGTCACAGAGTGTATGATTTTGGTGGTGATGTCTTATGACCGGTATGTGGCCATCTGTCATCCTTTGCAATACACCCTCATCATGAGCTGGAGAGTGTGCATGGTCCTGGCTGCGATCTGCTGGATATTTAGCTTTCTCTTGGCTCTGGTCCATGCTACTCTTTATGTCTCTAAACTGTACTTTCAAAGTATTAAACATTTTTCTGAATGTATTGAAATATGAAAGATTTCTTCATGAGAATTTTTAATACAGAACTTCAACTCTTTAATGTTTGGTCAGAAAACATTGAATCTTTATTGATTTCTTTTAAATCATGTGGTGATGTTTCTCATTCCAAAGATCTGTAATTTATCTGGTTATATACTAATTGTGTTTTCATAACTATATTGTTCATTTTTTAATTTATTGTGCATTTTAGTAAATATTAAATCTTCATTAATTTAGTTACACAACACAATTCTTCTTTTTTTTTTTGAGAGATTTTCCCTGTAGGGCGCGTGCACTCGCCAGACAGACAGAGAGAGACATAGAGACAAAAAGTGAGAAATCACCCCCCAGGGTGGATGGTCACGCCGCAATCCCTTCTCCTCCATTCTCCTCTCGGGATCTTGGGCATGCACGCACACGCGCCCGGTGTGAGTTTTAAGCCACCGGGTCTGGGACACGAACTGCGGTCGACTACGTGGGAGTCCAGTGACATAGCCATTACGTTAACTGCTGGTTCCCACAACACAATTATTCTTATATTAGAGTCTATATTATCCTTGTGTTAAAGTTTTATACATTTACTTTTTAAAACATTTATTCATTATTATTATTGTTATTATTTATACATTCAATCACTATATATCATTTAGATTGTAAAGAGGCTTTTCCCAGCATGATATATACCTCAGTCCAACCCAGTTGAGAATACTATACACATCCTCATCAACAGATAATAAACATACATTTACTTTCATCTTGAATAAATATAAGTTTTCAATATTTTACTTTACTTTTCTCTTTAGCATGAAATTTATGCATTTTAGGGGAAAATGTGCTTTTTAGGCATATTTTCAGCAGAATAGATTTTGTTTTTATTAACTGATTTTTATTTTAATTTCATTTTTCACCTTCTCTTTTTCTCTGTCTTGTGGTTTTCAGTTTTTTTTTTTTTGTTGTTGTTGTCTTCCTCCTGGCTCCATGGGCCTCTCATACAAAATCAGGGTTTGCAGTATTTTCTCAGGCTCTGGTGGTGGAATTATAGAGGCAGTTGGCATATTGACTTTTTTACTTATCTTACCCAGCAACCCAATAGCTGTTTTAAATCTTTCATGGGCAATATCCAAACTCTTAGTTTCAAGAAATTTCTTTGGTACCCCATTTCCTAGTAGCTTGTCTTAATGTCATAAAAGCTGAATTCTATGTGTAATTCGTTGTCTTTAGATTGGAGCAATCATGTTTCTTATTTACTTCTGGTATATATGTATAAAGGTGTTGTCTCACTTTAAACTCTGGCAGCTACTTGGGGTTTGCATTTTAAATTTTACCTATCATATGCTTTTGATATAGAGGAGAAATCAGGAGCCCATCTTAAGCCTAAGTCTCTCCTTTCTTCTTTACTAAACATATTATCAGTGGTGGAAATGCAATGCTAAATTGTTAATGTCGCCAAACTTCAATTTCTGGGAGAAAATAGAGATTGGTGGAAATGATGGTAAATGAAAAAGGACATGTCTTTGTCTGTCTCCTCACTAGCTATAGCTCATTATTGCTTATGATGAATATCATAAAATTAAAAATTGGGCCAGCCAATGACATGGTGGTGAAGGTAGCTAAATCCCACGTGGCTTATTGTGTAGTTCAAGTCTCAGACTCAGCAGCTTCAAAAACATGCTGGGCACATGTGCGTGTGTGGCCAAAATCTTGAAAGGAGAAATAGAGGAGAAAGGATTGCAGCATGACCATCCTCCCTGGGGGTTGCCTTCTGACTTTTCTTCTCTATCTTGGTCCTTCTCTTCAGAGCAATCTTTAAAAAATAATCCATTTTTTTTAAAAGAGAACCCAGTTTTTATGTGAATTTTCCTATTTTTTGTAATGGTCAATAACTAAAATTTTACATATTTCTTAAAGGTAAGTTTACAGGTCAACACCACAGGGAATGTGGGCTGGCTGGATGCATAACTTACTGATTTATGGCCTCTGACATAAATGTACACTTTATAATAAATACACACACACACACATATGTGTATGTGTGTATATATATATGTGTATATATGTGTATGTGTGTGTGTATGTGTGTGCATATATATATATATATATATACTTTTTCTACCCCTCAGCTGTGAAATTTCTGTCCTAAGTGCATCCCAGGATTTACTGTCACAAGAACATGGAGAGCAATCAGACACGGATCACAGAAGTCATCCTACTGGGATTCCAGGTTGACCCAGCCCTGGAGTTGTTCCTCTTTGGGCTCTTCTTGCTGTTCTACAGCCTTGCCCTGATGGGAAATGGGATGATCCTGGGGCTCATCTGCTTGGATGCTAGACTGCACACCCCCATGTACTTCTTCCTCTCCCACCTGGCCATCGTTGACATGTCCTATGCCTCAAGCACAGTCCCGAAGATGCTGGCAAATCTCGTGATGCACAGAAACGTCATCTCCTTTGCTCCATGCATACTTCAGACATTTTTGTACCTGGCTTTTGCTGTCACAGAGTGTATGATTTTGGTGGTGATGTCTTATGACCGGTATGTGGCCATCTGTCATCCTTTGCAATACACCCTCATCATGAGCTGGAGAGTGTGCATGGTCCTGGCTGCGATCTGCTGGATATTTAGCTTTCTCTTGGCTCTGGTCCATGCTACTCTCCTTCTCAGGCTGCCCTTTTGTGGGCCACAAAAAATCAACCACTTTTTCTGTCAAATCATGTCAGTATTCAGATTGGCCTGTGCCAACACTAGACTCAACCAAGTTGTCCTCTTTGCTGGCTCTGTGTGTGTCTTAGTGGGGCCCCTCTGCCTAGTGCTGGTCTCCTACTCGCGCATACTGGCGGCAATCTTGAGGATCCAGTCAGGGGAGGGCCGCAGGAAGGCCTTCTCCACCTGCTCCTCCCACCTCTGTGTGGTCGGGCTGTTCTTTGGCAGTGCCATTGTCATGTACATGGCCCCCAAGTCCAGCCATTCTCAAGAGCAGAGGAAAATTCTGTCCTTGTTTTATAGTCTTTTCAACCCTATGCTGAATCCCTTGATCTATAGTTTGAGGAACACGGAGGTGAAAGGTGCCTTAAAGAGGGTTCTTTGGAAACAGAGGTTCAGGTAAGGGATGGTTTGGTGTCTCCTGAGCATGTCACCTTGGTTCTGTTATCCTAGGTCCCTGAATGCCCTTATAGTCCTTTAATTTACTTGACCATGTGAATTTCTGTCATATTCTGACTATTTGTCTTCTTCATGGCATGAAGTACCTGAAGTTTTTTCTTTATGTATCCATGGAGGTGTTTAATGTACAAGATCATCGTAAGCATTATTTCGGTGTTGTTCATAACTCTGTCCCTAAGACCTAGGGCAGAGCTAGGCACAGAGAAATGGTACATATGGCTGGCAGGTTGACTAATAGGCATGTGAGCCCCACCTACTCTCTTCTTAAAACCAAGGAGCCAGCAGTTAGGGGGAGAGAAATTCTTATCTTCTATTTTAATTCTCTTTTGCAAATAAGGAGATAAAGGAATACAGAGGTTGAATAAGTTACCTTAGGTAACTAAGTCAGAATATGGAAAATCTAAAGTTAAAAATACAGATTATAGGTTATTTAGCTTATGTGTGTGTGTGTGTGTGTGTGTGTGTGTGTATAAAGAATGAAAATTCATTTTCTCTGAGTTCTCAGAGCTTTTGAATAGAAGTCCCAGAATTGTCACAGTTGGATCATGATGAGGACTCTCTTTCTGACTGGCATTCAGAAGGTAACTTTTCACCATATCCTTATACAGTAGGCAGAGGGAGAGCTTATCTTTTTAGCTCTGTACTAACACCATACGCTAGCATACTCACACCAATAACCCACTCATTTCAGACAACACAAACATATTTTCCTTTCATCCCCAGTTGTGGGAGTCTTCAGGCTCATCAAAGGAGAAATTGCTTACTTTTACTTTTTTTAATGAAGATAGTTTAGTCTGTTCTAGAGTTTTTGAAATACCTGAGTAACATAAATTGGGTAATTTATAAAAGTAGAGATTTATTTAGTTCATAGTTTTGGAGAGGGAAGGTCAAGGGGCCACAATGGTAAGGGTTTATTTCTTGGTGGGACTCCCTGCTGAGTCCCTAGGTAGTAAAGGACAAGCAAGAGAGTGAGAGAGGCATGTCTATGTAAACCACAAAGATTTAATCATGGGGCTGCATATTGATGACTTTACACAATCCTAATCTACTTCTCACAGGCTTCACCTCTTACTCCTATAGTCAGCTTAAGTTTCCACACTCTTGATACCATTACAGGCTAATTGGGGGAGGCACGTTCAAATCAAAGCAGAAGGTAACATTTTTCTTCATAAGATCCCAATCATGAACCGTCCATTGGAAATAGCCATGATACTGAACCACTATTATTGAGGCAAATGTATATATCCTTCAAATACAAGAACCAATGACCATTGATTTTCATGTGATGAATGGAAAGGAATGGTTATAAACTTAATTCTATAGGTAAATAAAACAAAAATTATTTAGTTCTCAAAATATTAATTAAAAAGTCCTTATAGTGGTGATGTTTGAATTGAATTTGAGAAACTAATATTAGCACAAAAATGGTTAAATTATTTTAAGTAAAGAAAATACCAAGAGTCATCATACCAAATACCATCTGTTAAAAATAAAGATAAGAATGTAATGAAAACTGAATTTTCACTCCTGAATCACTTCAAAAGAAGAGAGTTTTTTTTTTTTCTTGGCAATATAGTAGACAAGCCATCTTTAGATGTTTATAGTAGAAGAATTTTCTGACAATGCAATGCCTAAAATTCTTTTAAAACAAGAAACAAAGAGAAATTCTTTCTGTATACTTTTCCCTTTTGATAGGGTAGAAGAATCTTTCTCAGAAGCTCTCCCTCTTGGTATATTTTACCTTGTGTTCCACTGGCCAAAATTGAGTCAAATTAGGTATCCCTAAACTAGTTACTGATGAAGAAGATAAAACTGAATGCTTGGCTTGGCTCAGTCATGGTTTGGATCCTCTGTGGCTTAGAACGGGACTCACTTTCTCTGCTAATGTTCTGCCTAACTCCATTCGAGAGTTGGAACAGGGTCAGCAAGGGAGTGTGCCATGGCCACAGGATAGATAGATAACTGGCATATCTGGCACATGTCTTAAGGTTTAGAGCAAGTCTTCTTAAATCTTGGAAAGAAGCAGAGCAATTTTCAAAAAATAATTTGCTATAGGATGCAAGCATTCACAAGAGAGAGAGAGATAGGAAGTGGGGAGTAGGAATTATACACTAGGGGATGACCACAGTGCAACCCCTTCTCCTCCAGTCTCTTCTTGGGATTTTGGCATGCACACACATCTGCTCAGCATGTTTTCCATAACACCAGGTCCAGGACTCAAACCAAATAGTCAGCCATGTGGGATCCAGCTGCCTTAACCACCATGCCAACTGGCTGGCCCCAGAAATAAAGCATTTAAATTTGCAAATTTCTTCATCTTTTAACTATAAGGATTCGACTGATACTTTCTGAAGACAGAATAGGAAGTTTAAAATTATAATGTCTGGAATCTCAAAATATAATAGATTCTTTTTCTAAGTCAAGGAAATTCCATTAGGAACTGTATGACAGGGACCAGCAGATGGCCTAGTGGTTACATTGCTAGATTCCCATATGGCCAACCATGGTTCAAGTCCCAAACTTTGTGGCTTGAATATCACACTGGGCATGTGCGTGTGCATCCCAAAGATCCCAGGAGGAGAATGGAGGAGAAGACATTGCAGTATGCCCATCTTCCCAGGGCATGATTTTTCACTTCCTCTCTCACTGTCTCTGTCTCTCTCTCTGGCAAGTGCACATGCTCTAAAGCAAGAACTTATTTTTTAAAAAAGAAAAATGAACTTTATGACATACAGTTAAAAAAACAGGACTTTGGATTACATAACAGGCACTGTTCCTTCTGCTACATTAAAAATATATATACTTCAAAAGAGCATGAGGAATATAAAATAGTTTTTATGAAAGTATATTAAATCATCAGTTTATCCTTCTAGGCTTGTATTTTTCTTGAGCTCACAGAGACATCTGGAATTTAATTAACCACATGTATGCATGATATGGTTTTATGTTTTTCTTTATTGCCTAATTTGTTTTCATACTGGATGAGTGCTCATTTTACACAATAATATAAAAGTCAAAATGTTTTCCTAAATGTTGTAGGATCTCAGTTTTGTAAAGTTTAATCTCTCCATCCTATTAACTTCATATCTGTTACCTGTATATATTAATTTAAAATCAGTCATAATAGTTATTTCTGGAAGCATTTCAAATATTTTATTTTATTCTCCAGAATTTTTCTCTTGTACATATTGAGCTTTTTGTTCATTTTATTTTTCAAAAGTCTATTTTTCCTTGGAAGTAAGTGGAAAAAGAGGAGGATAACAGGTTAGACTTTTCAGAAAGTAAATAACAGGAGTGCAGACCTATTTAACATTAGTCTGTGAGGAAGGAGAATGCAGAGCTTATCTCTTGAATAGTTGTAGCCCTCCTGCCTGCACCCTAATGTGTGCCAGACACATCTCCTGGTGTACGATAAACATTCAGTTAGGAAAGACACTGGCAGCCAGCACTAACTTCCCAACTCCTGAGCAAAGTACAGATGTCTGTATCCATAAGAAAAGCAACATTCCCCTTGAACCCCATTCATCCACAGCAAGTCAGCAGTGGCAATGACTTAAAAACAAAACAAAACAAAACAAAAACTCTTGGGGCTAGCAGGTTGCATGGTGGTTAAGGAATTGGACTCCAACATGGCTGACCGTGGTGAATCCTAGACCCACTGCCTTGAAGATCACACTGGGTGTGAGTGTGTGCATGCCCAAATCCCAAGAGGAAGATGGAGGAGAAGGGATTGCGTCATGGCCATACCCCATGGGAGGGTTTGATTTCTCACTTTCACTCTCTCTCTCTGTCTCTCTCCAGCAAGCACACCCTATGGGAAAACCCAAAAGTAAATAAATAAATAAATAAATAAAAATAAAAACCTCTTTACTAAACCAATATTTACCGTCACCTGATTTTCTAGGTAAGCAGTATGTGTCAGGTAGAATGTTTACAGCTGTAAGTAAGAAAGTCATGTTAATTACTTTGTTTTCCCCACTTGTGCCAATTTTTAAGGCTTTCTATTCACTCTACCACCTCTCATGCTATATCCATTCTAACTTGCAGACATTCCTCAGGAAGCTTCCATTCTTTTTCTAAATTGGTTGTTTCCTAGCAACTCCCTTTTCCTTCACCCTGAGTCTGACTCACTAGTTCATTAATCATGTCCTCCTCTTTCTTGGTTTTCTCCCTTGTTTTGCTGGGATACATGCTACAATAGCTTTACAAGGTCTAAAAGATGTACAATGACAGAGTGATGATGGAAACAACCCTATACTCTCTAATCTAATTTGTGTTATTTTATTTTCCTTACTACTCCATTGAAAATCTATGTAGTAAGTAGGAAGGAAGGAGCAAGGAAGGAAAGAACAAAGATAGGAAGGAAGGACAGAAGGAAAGAAGGAAGGAAGAGACTCGAGTCCTGTGAAGAACGTATCTCTGTGAGACATAGTAGGTATAGTAATTAATTGTAAACTGTGGATACTCCATTTTGAAAATTAGCCCTTATTCAGTAAAGATCACTACCATGGATAAAGCCATGTATGTTTTGTAATACTTATTTAAATATCAAAAATATATAAATGTAACAATCAGGTGATGTCTAAGACTTTTCATAGGTAGTGATTTTTCTCTAACCACTTCAAAGATTAAAAATAAAAATAGACAAATCATGACACGTGATTTTTGTCCATAATAGGCAGCATTAAATGTTATTGTATTATCTTCAAAAGAAGAAATCGAATTGTGCAAATTATGTCCTTCTAAATGAGTATGTACCCATATAGCATCTTTAGCTCTATCCAGGTGTTGGTGAGTCAAATTTATTTTTTAGCAATAGACTTGTAGGAAAAATAAACAATAAGAAATACTAAAAGCAAAAAATTAAGCACAGGGGCCAGCATGTGGTGTCATGGTTAAGGCACTGGATCTTACATTGCCAGCTTACTCAAGATCTGGACCCTG